ATTTGGAGAGAGAACGGTGCTGTTGCGAACGTTTTATGCGGGGCTTAAGAATATCAGGAAAGATCATGATTTGAAGAACACGGTCGAAGAATTGAACGCATATTAAGGCAGTCGGAAGCGCAAGGCAGAAACGTGGAAAACCGATACGACTATCGAAATGACTATTGAAGAGAAACTTCCAGATGGGTTATTGAGAAAGTTTACGAAGCAAAGGAAAATGATCCAGCTTGGAGCGCTTACAAGCCTCTTAGATTACTGGAACAAATAACAAGACGCAAAGAAGAATTCTTGATTAACAGAATATTTGGTTCGACGGATAAGAAAGAACCTTATAAAAGTCAAAACCAAAATGAATTCCTCCTAAAGCCAAAGGACAGAATTCGGCTTTTCCTGCGCTCATTACCAAACGAAAAGTTAAACCTCCACTAAAGAATTGTATTCTTTGTGACAAACTGTCGCTGGAACCGGAACGGTAAAGAATATAACACAGTTGAAAAACGAGTAGAACATGCAAAAATGCAGGGCTTATGCTTCAAATGTTTAACAAAAGGACACCGAGCAAAGGAGTGCTCCAAGAAAATACGTTATTATCGATGTCAAAAGCATCACAATGTAATTTTTTGCAATTCTAAGCAGCAGGAAAGAAAGAAGAATGCTGGAAGAATTCGTCGAGCACCGAAATCAAGCGATAGCGGGCTGGTCAAAGAAGCTGATGGGAAGAAATCCGACACAGCGATGGTCTCCACGGCGTTTCAAAGAGAATTCAGTGACGCCAAAGGGAGAAGCAAGGCAACAGCTCTGTTGCTGTGCAAGGAGGTAATAATCACAAATCCAAATGATCCGCAGCAGACACAGAAAGTGACAGCATTTGTCGACGTCGACAGCCAGAGAAGCTTTATTTCTAAGGATGATGTCGACAGACTGGGACTGCAAAAGAAGCAAACGGAAGCAATCTCTGTACTGGGATTTGCTGCAAGAAAGCCTGCGGCATTTCACACCTCCAGTGTCACGTTTGATCTGTTGTTGAATAGCGGCTGTGCTAAGAAGATTACCGCCAATACAATGGCGTTTTTGACAAAAAGACTGCAAGCCGCCGAAATTGATGAGGAAAATATGAAGCATCTCCATGGGGCATATGAAAATGTTCTAAACGTGCCAACAGTTTGGCAAGAGCCGAAGTTGACAAGTGGATCCGATCATTATTCCGATTTCATTAAACCAGCAACAAAATTGAAATCCGGATTTCATCTCACTGATTCGACAGTGGGAATCACGATGGCCAGTAGAGGCGAAACTAGCAACAGAAATCACCAAAAAACAGCTGTCGTTGTACAGCCGGCATTGGCCGACGATGTTGATCGCTTTTGGTAGTCGGAATTAATCGGAAAACAAGAGTCGCTGACTGGAGATGATGATACAAAAGCGCTGGAACATTTCGAAAAGACCTTTCAAAGAAGGAAAGATGGCCGTTATTCAGTTAGTCGGCCATGAAATACACCTAAACCTTAGCTGAATACTCATTGCGGACTTTGCTTTGGGAGATTGAAGACGACAATCCGACGACTAAATGAAGAACCAAATCCACTTATAAGATATGACCAACTAATCAAC